CCTGGAGGTGATAGCGACGCATGACCTTGATTTCTCGGAGATTTGCATCTTGTTTCCACTGGCAAGACTTAGACAGAGAAAAGACCGAGGAAAGGGACGTACATTGAGGAAATCTACTTTTTTCAAGAGTTTTTGCTCGTGGAACTTGAGATTTCTGACCATGGATATTCGAACGTGGGAAAGGGTCGGAGGGACCAAACTGAGTTTGCGTGCTTGCTGTGAGCCATCGCTGCGACAGTCGCCTCAACGCTGCTCCTCGGTCTGTTTCCTCTTCTTTCCCACCGTGCTCGACGTTGCTCACCCTGATCTCCAGAATCCACCCGTTTCTTTTTTTTTGTGCCGTGTCTTTTATGCGTGTCGAGTATTGTCGATGAACTTGCGCAACCCCTCCATGGCCCAGAACCAGATGCTTGGTATCCCCGGCTCCTTCATGCAAACATCTCCCCCAGGCCGCCAGACGATGCCCATGTCTGGCAATGGTGCCAATCCACCACTCAACATGCACCCCGGCGCTGTAAACCCAGGCACTATGCTCGGTCAAGGCTACCCAATGTCCAACAACACCATGATGCAAGGTCGTGGGCCAGCCAGACCACCCCAGGCTGGCCAACCCATGATAAATGGCAACCTACACATGAACCCTTCCAACCAACTCGGTGCTGGTGCTATTGGGTTTCCCAATGGCATTCCAAACCCTACCCACCAGATACGACGGGCAGTCTCTCAACCACAAAACGCCATGAGCGGCATGCCCCCAGGCGTAAACGGTAACATGAACATGGGCATCACTACTCCTTCAAGTGTGCCTCCCCAGATGCGTCCGGCAGGACACATGCAACAGCCAAGTATGCGTCCTGGTATGCATATGGGGCATGATTCTGCCATGACCATGCCTGGCAGCAGACCAGTCCCTGGTCCCGCCGGTGTGAACAGACCAGGCGGCACTGTCCCTATCATGAACAGTCTTGGCCCAAACCCCATGCCTCACCAACAAAACAATTTTCCAAACATGACCATGCCCCATTCTTCCTCTCCTCGTCCTGGCGGTCCTAATCCTGGCATGCCCATAGGACAACATCCCATTAATCGTGCTCGTACGACGCCAGATAACAGCAATGCTTTTATGGCTAGTTTCGGTGCTACTTTTCCTTCAGGTGCAGGTCCCAGTCCCGGTCGCATGCCCGGTAATAACAACTATCCCATGATCCCTTCAACATCACCTAATCAAATGAACGACATGTCCCAGTCTATGGGTAATACACCCAACGGTACACCCAGTCGAGCAGAGTTTAACCCAACGCCGGCACAGCTGCATTCGATGCATTCATCGGGAGCCGGAGCCGGAGGATCTGTCGATTTCCCAGTCGGTCCTCCGTTTGCAATACCTCAGCCTCCCTCGCAGCATAATCACGCTGTCGGAAACCCCATGCCTCCACACCATCCCCAATCCCAGCCCCAGTCCCAACCTCAGAATCCTTCCCAACAACAACGACCTCGATCTTCGCAACAATCTCATCCCTCTACTCCCCAACAACAACCCCAGACATCACATTCTCAACCTCCGTCGCACCACGCTTCACCTCATTCGGATATGAATAATATGTATCCTCGACCACAGTCGCAGCCGCAGAATCAACAACAGCAGCAGCAAGGTGGTCTAGGACAACCTTCTTCGTCTGGTCCTGGACCCGTACCTGGACCAGGTTCACAAACCCAAACTCCACGACAAAATCCTCCTCATCCGCATCCGCATCCTGGACCTCATTCTCATCAACATCCGAGTGCTGGGCCGAATATTGGGAGGATAGGGCCTCCAGGAGCTCAGCAACCACCGCAACAAGGTCAAGGCCAAAGTCAACAAGGTGGCCCTGTTCCAAATGGGATGAATATGATGGGTAATATGGGTATGGGTTCTAATATGGGAGCCGTCGGTATGGGTCCTGGAGGCATGAGACCGCCTTCATCGTCTGGTCATCCGCCAGGACAACAACCGATTGCACCGAGGCCGCCTAGTAATATATTTCCGAATGTTTCTGCGCCAGGTCCTGGACCAGGACCCGGTCCACATCCACACAGCCATCAACAGCAGCAACAACAACCTCATCAGGGTGGTCAACCTGGTGGGCCAAGTCATGGACCGAGTTCGAGTCAAGGACAAGGACAAGGATTGGGACCAGGACAAGGGCATGGTCCTGGTCCTGGGCTTAATCCTAATCCTAATTCTGGGATGAATATGAATGTAGACACATCACCGCCGTCTTCGTCGCCTACAGACCCATCTCAGCCTCAGTCTCAAACGCAAGGGCCTCAGCCTGTGCAGGGCCCAGCTCCTCCGGGACAAGGACCTCATCAAGGTTTACAGGGTCAGCCGGGTCAAGGGCAACAGGGACAAGTTGGAGCGGTAGCTAGATCTGTGGTTGGGAGGTGAGCTTTTCCTTTTGCTTGGACTAACAAATGCTCATCTAAACAGTACCACGGCCTTGGGATACGGTGTAGGATTGATAAGATTATTGCAGTTTAGTGGGATTTTGGCGAATGAAAATAAACAAGTGCGCCTTTCTTTATTTCACTCATTTTGATGCTGACTTGGCCGACTTGGGGGCTTTTCTTCTCCTGTTTGTTCTCTTTACCGTGTTTGAAATCAACATTGAACCTCAACTATAAACCTAGAAGAAGCTCCAACTAGTATGGTGGAACGATCTCATAAGAGAATACTTTACTCCAAAAGCGATAATGAGGTTTACTTTATGGAAGGATAATCAGAGGAATGAGGCTAAACCGTTTGGTTTGTCCATCTATCCAACGCATCCCAGTAGTACTAACACGACGCACAGAAATCGGCGTCCCCATCCTCCCCCGTTTTTTTCTCGTAACAACTCAATCCGGCGTAAAATCCATGACACTCACTCTTGACGGCGCTCGAGAACGCCTTTACGCACCCGGTCACGCTGTCGTCGAATGCGTCTCTGCAGTTTGGACCTACAAATATGCTAACGGTTATACCGTCGCTTTGCGAGGTCCGCTCACTGTCCACGTTGTCCTAACAGCTCCTCCACCGCCCGGCACAACAGGTGCCAATGGGCCCTCTCCAAACGGCGCCGGGATGCATCCTCAAGGTATAGGAGGAGGAAACTATTTACTCAAGTTTGAAGACTTCCAGTTTGATGCGATGCAGCATGACAAGTATATAGCGCTGGAGAGTATCATGGGTCCGAGGAGTATGGAAAGTCCGAGGACGCCTAGGAGTAGACATCCGATTCCTCCTGGACCTCTAGGGGTTAATGGGATTAGTGGAGATGATTTGGTAGGTGGTGCGATGATGAGTAACATTGGAGGTGGTATGGGAGGTGGTGGAGGTGTAGGAGATGACGATGATAGAAAGTGGGAAGAGCCGAGAGTGATGATCGAGAAGGGGTTTATACCTGGAGAACCGGTTAATGCGTTTGGGATTCCACAGGCGACGATGAGGTGTTTGGAGGTGAGTGTTTTAACGAGTATTTCATGTCGTGTGACTGACGCGGATTTTTTTGGTACAGCTCGCAGAAAGCGTAGCACAAATGTCGGATCTGATCGCCTTTTCTAGCGAAAAACATCTCGGTCCCATTGGTATGTTTGGAAACTGCTCAAGACCCAGTTCGCACTAACACATTCAGGGCAGAGTCTCTAAAAAATATGGCGCACCAAATCCGAGAATCCATGCCGCCTTTTGTAATCACTCAATCGCCCATGGTCAACGGGATCGGTCACGGTCTACAACCCTCCACTCAATTTACTTCCATGCCTTCATTACCCAACGGTATCGGTCATCCTACATTATACACCAGCGCCCCATCAAACGTCGTCAACCCCGGTTCTTCCTCTTCCTCTATCGCATCTTCCTCCCAAGCTCAATCTCAACAAGGTCAAACACCTTCAACAATGACCTCGACGATGAGCTCTCCACAAAATTTGCCCAATTCGGCAAACTCGTCACCGAGAAAAGGGCATAAAACTGTACCTAGCGGTGCAGGTGCCAGCACGTCTGGAGGAGTAACGCCTTCTGCGACTCCGACGGTGATGTCTAGTTCTATACCTGGTCCTAGTAGTGGTCCGGCGTCTGCGTCGACGCCGGGTTCATCAAGTACGACGAATACGCCTGCAATGGCGAATGCGTCGTTGAAAAGAAAGCAGGTTGATAGTCCTGCGCAGGCGGGTACGGATGGTGGGACGCAAAAGAGGTCGGTGAGGAAGAGAAAGACATGATGTTGAGATGTGGTGTTTGTGTGTCGTGGTGTCGGTCATTGTTTCCTGTTTGTGTTCATGTTCATTGTCCATGCTGTCGAACTTTTTTCCCCCTTCTTTTCCACCTCTTGTTCCTCGTCGTGTGCAACTTTTCCACCCCCTCTTCTTCCGTCTTGCGTGTTCTGTGTATCTTGCTCTACCAATGATCTCGTGCATCTGTTAGTCTGTCTGTCAGTTAATCTTTCTCCCTTTTTGCCAGCATAGAATTGTAACCTAGTACATTACACATCATTTTTCTTTTTCATTCTGTGCTCTCTTTTTTCGTTCTTTTCTGTGGATACTTGCAAGTCTGGAGACGCTTTGTTATGATTGAATGGTCCCTTGTGAAATTATTTATATCCCTTGTGTACTTGTATTATCTAGTATATCGCGCAAAGAATTTTCTTTTTCAATCTCTATATTTCTTCTCTATTGTGTTCGGGGCTTTTTGAATTGAATAAAGACTAATAAAGCCATTTCTGTAGGTGCCAGTCAAACTACCTATCTAGCCACTAATTAATTGCCTGCGGGATTAAAATCAGTTGTATCAATTGTGGTAGGTAATAATGTCATAAAGTGCAGTGTTTCCGAGTTTAGAAATGAGACTCAGTGGTGAGGGCATTTTCTGAGATACTGCCCCAGGCTGTCTTTCCTATATGTATGTTGGGTATACAGTGCTCTCCCAGCAGTTCATACAATTTGGAATGTTGTGGTGACTTGATCTCAGGATAAATATGACTCAGATCAACTGGGGATTGAACCCAGGACTTAGGCATAACTAGTGACCTTGCTCTAAACCACTGAGCTATTGGTCCATGAGTGTACAACTTCCAAGTGTGTGTAGTGACAAGTGGAGGTATTTACTTGCACAGTATGGTAACTGGTTATGACAGGATGACATATGGTGATATATCTCATAGTTTGTTTGAGGACAAGCCTGAATTCCAGGGTATTGATATCCTTATTTAGTGGGCAAACTAAATGAAATGAGAAATTTGTTCTTTATCTAAAGCACCATTCTGTGTCCACTCTTATTTATATTTTCAGATTTCTCTGGAAAAATTAAATCCTCTGAAAAAAGAAACTGAACTTCTCACTATTAAATGGTGTCAGTGTGTCAGATGTCTATTTTTCATTGTTCCAAAATCCTTTGATTTGAGTACAAGCCAATGTCATTAGAAAGAATTTCAATTCTTTCATTACATTTTGCAATCACCCTAAGTGCTTCATTCCACCAATGACCTGTGAAACCCTACAGAAAATAGAATTAGCACCCACAAAAACAAGATTTCTTTTAATAATGTTCAACTTACTTGCAACCAGGAAATGATTTCAAAAAGCTGGCTTCTATTGTGAATGCAGAAGATGATGCTTTCCAGCTCAAGGATGAGACTTGGTTCATAAGGTGACTTCCTGAGGTATTGAACCCAATTTTGATGTGTAGAACTCCAGTATGCTGGGTGCAAATTAATTTTCTGGATACAGTGCCTGACTAGAAATTCATAGCCTTTGGAAAGATCAATGAAATGCCAGTGGGCATCCTGTGGATGTGAATTGGGACCACCATGACACAATGCATGAAAATCAGGGTGGCATATGCTAGTGCACTCTAAAATGTCTTTCAAATTATCATCCAAAAATTCAATCTAAAACAAATTTAAATTCAGTAATAAAATTCCTGTGCTGCTAGGAAACTGCTTGATCTCTAAAGTGTCAACTTCAACTGAATGTTCAAGTTGTTCAACCTGAAGATCCTCAACCCAAAAAGCAGAAATCATCATTAAATGTGGTAACTGTTGAATATATTGAGAGGAAATTCCAGTGATGTAAAATCCCTGTTCAAAGCAGTTTGAAAGAATGTTAATCTGATGCTGAATCTCAGATGGAGTCCAAGCCAGTGAACTAGAAATGGATGTCAGAAACTATAATACAGGATCAGAAATTGAGTGCAGAAATAATCTTAGATGATTTTTACTTGCCAGAAAATAGGAGTAAAAATGTTTCAGCACATAATAAATTGAATCATACACAAGCGGGATACCACTTTGCCACAGAGCTAAACATTTTATGACTTGACATAACTGGTTAGAATATCCAAGGTCCCTCAAGAGAACATCAGTTATTGTTGCATGCTGCAAATGCTTAAACCAATAAGATAGTGCATAAGTAACTGAATGACTGTGTCTACCAACAAAATTTAGTAAGAACCATCACCAGCACTATCTGACCTACAAGGAATGATTATGCAAATCATGAGTGCGAAAAATTTGCAGACAAAATCTTGCAACAACATCATGATACATAGGAATGTTGATAAAGTATTCCCTTGAACGTCGGGGATCCTTCAAGAAATCATGGAATGATTTGTGAAGAATCTCAATTTCTGTGTTGGTGATTCGCAGAACAGAATGCATCCCTCGTAAAATGACTGATACAGCACCATTAGAAAGGGAAAGGAGAGGTTCCATGATAAAGATTTGTCTCCAGTATAAGTCTGATGGTTCAACTTCCTTTATTGCAAACCAAGTCCCCAGGACTAGCATTACTTGATTTCGGTTGGGATTTGAGGACATAACTTGTTGGTAAAGGATATCCATATCAGAGAATGCATTGGGATCACCAACTGGTAGACCCATGATGAGCTTGAGTCGCTCATTTGGAAGAGAATATTCGTCTCCGACATACTTCAAGACGGTGGCAGCATAAAGAAATTGGCCCGATGCTCTGTGCACAAGTTCATCAATTACTCCTTCAGACGGCCAGGGTAATGATGTATGTTCCATGAGCTCACTACGATCTTGAACAATCCGAGAAAAGCCGTCCCGGAGGACAACAGCAATATCTCTAGAAGTCGAATAATCATCACCGAGCCCAGTGCGAATGGCGACACAGTGATATCGCTTAAACATGTCGCGAATAACGGGTTCTGGGCGACTAGTGATAAGAAAACGAAGAGAGCGGCGAGGCGCCCCGCTTGGTTCGTTATTTCGTCCATAATTGCTTTTAACACCCTTTTTTGGGAATCACTGCCATAGGATTCGTCCAGACCGTCAATGATAACAACTTTGGGTAGCTTTTGCCAGCTTTCTTGGGGAAGTACATGTAAGGGCTTGACTACGAGCTCACGATACTGGATTTCAATCGACGCTCCAAGGATTCCATGTCGTTTTTGCACTGCCTCATCAATGGCAAGACGCAAGTAGGAATCACCGGTCCAGATTGCCAGACAGTAAGCTATGGTAGTGAACAGATAACGTGGATTGTTGCGTGTCAGGGATGAACGGGAGAAGAAGAAACTGGCAGCCAAGCGGTGTTCAACACTGAAAACGTCAAAAAGCTCGGACAAGGTCTGCGCAATTGCAGACTTGCCAGTGCCTGCAGATCCATAAAGCCAATGTACGGGCGCTTGAAGCTCTCGAGTAGGAAAAGAGTCCGAGGCAGTCAACGTCGAAATATTAGATTCCGTTTCTGTCGGAACACTCGGTTGTGTTCCTATCCCTTCAAACTCTGATTCCTCAGGGTGTCCCTCACGAATCCAGTTCGAAAGGTCTCTTAAAATAGCTTCGCGAGTTCCAGGATGACAATTAGGTGGAGGGTACCGAGCTTCAGACTCGTGCGAGGCACCAACATGCGCAATTGTTTGATACAGGAGCCTCAAACCTAAGTGCATACATCAGGATCAGTATCTTATGGTACGTAAGACCCAGGCAAAAGATATTCCACCAACCAGTCTCCTTAGGCTCATAATAATGAATCGTCTGATTGCCCGATACTGCATTAAATGTCGAGTTGTTCACCGAGAAATCGTGAGCATAAGGAAAATAAGACGTCGACACGTTCGCAAAATCAATGGAGGTCATAGGGAAGGGGAAAGCCTGAAACTTGAAGGTGTTCGTAATGCCTATATTTGTACGCATTGGCGATCAGATAGAGTATACATAGACGCCAGTGGATTTATATTCGGAATATACTTGACGTGGTCGCCTTGATTCTATACTCAATATCTGCTACCAGCGCCTCAGGCATGTAAAGAGCGTAGATCGGCAGACTCTGGGCGTGATATCGAACGTGTACGTTTATACACTGGGGCATGACCAGAGCATACGAGTCCAACTTCGAACCCGAGTCCAGAACCTCCTATCCACTACGCTAATGGAACGATTTACTTGACAGAAGCCATAGGGACATGTACATATTTCCATTTCACGACAATCGAGCAACATTTAGTAACATAAACCGACACCTCATGTCTTCGCCATTCTGCTTCAGATTTATTCTCAGAGATCAGCATTTTTAATGATATCGGCCGCCATTTCACCCAGAGCATACGCAATGGACTGAACGATTTGTCAAAAGCTTGAAACAAAACATCGGACGATTTCATACCTCAGTATGGATACCAGGGAGCAAAGGAATGACACCACAATCTACGACTCGGACGTTACTTGTTCCATACTAAAGAATGATTCATGAGTCAATGACAGACTAGCGATACTCAGCTGGCACCTACCACCGTGAAACTCTCTGGGTCGACAACACCGCCCTCTTCTCGGGGCACTGCCGAACTTTTTCAACACGAATGCAGGACTGGAGACTGATTACTCACAAGCAGCTGTTGTGCCAACGAAATGAGACCTGTCCCGCACAAGTTGTCAGCGGCTTCAAAGATGGACGAGATTAGACTGACATTGTTATAAAATTGGGACGAAGCCATTCTTGCAAATCCTCACTGGAAAAGTATTTTGCTCCTGGTGTCACTTCATAATCAATGATACTTGCGAGAGGCTCGGTTGAAGTGATATTTCGGGTGTACGCGACAGCCTTGGACAAGTACCACAGATCATGTTCGGCGGACAAACTGTTCTACTTGTTATCACCCGTCGACAGTCAAAAGACTGCACGTACTATCTAGGATCAATGGTGACCTTGGCAGTGGGGTCGCTAGAATTGGCGTGCTATACGATATATTTAGCGACATTCTAAACATCCATATATAGCCACGTACGACGTATCCACGAGAATAAGTATGAAGGTCGGTAGCATAGAACGCCAACTGTACAGTTCCATCCTCCTGCTGCATCAAGCTCCAATTCATTTCAGTCTGGGCGAGGCCGTCTTCAAAGAATTTCTGTAGCGCTTCATATTGTGCATCTGAAAGCTCATCGTTCTTCCCATGGATTGATGTCAAAATTTCTCTGAAAGATAAGACATAAACAAACCTTGGTTGAACGAAGCTCGATTGACCTTTGCATGTCTTCATCACTTAATACTTGCTGGGCAGGAATGAGATCGATAACGGGAGCATCAGTTTCAGAGCCAATAGTGACGCTGCCGTTCTTCAAAGCGTAAATGACATTAACACCGAGCTCTAAGCAATGGTAAGACGGAGATGTGGAGACAGGAAGAGTCAACATACGGTTCTGCAGGTTTTTGCCAACAGCAACAAGGTCAATCTTGTTCTCAACTCCCAAGCTAAAATAACCGAGGTCAATGAATGCACGACGATGTCCGGAGAGCCTCCATACTTTCCAAGGATAGATGAATCGCCAATACCACTGAGCTCCAGAATCTTCGTAGAGTGTAAGGCACCGGCACTCAAGATTACATGCTTGGCGTTCTGCAGTGTTCAGTCAGAAAACTTTAGAAGATGGGACAAAAGAACGGCTTACCAAGACCTCAGTACCATTATTAGTTATGTATTCGACACCACTGGCAACAGCGAGACCGTCTTCGTCCTCTCCCCAGATAATCTTGGAAACTAAGCTGTCAGTGAAGACATGAAGGTTCTCCCGGTTTTGATTGGGCCACAAGTATG